CTTTTTTATTCCAAAACTTTTGGCAAAGCCATCATAAACAATAAAATCCACTTGAAAAAATAATTTTGTCACTCTAAGTTCACAAGATGACGATCGATAAAGTATATACCCTTACTAATTTTGCATATATTCCGGCTACTTATCAGGTTATTACAACGGAGAAACATGAAGCTGGATATGATTAGTGTTGGAAATGTGTATATTTTATACATTTGGTTTACCAGATAGGCAGTATGTGTGAATAAATGAATAAAGTGTGAACTTTGGCTATTACTCATCAAAAGCTGCTTAGTTAAGTATGAATAATAAATAAATAATAATATATGCAAATGAACGTCGACATGTATACATATACAGAGAATGTATGTGGATAATTATTTGTTAATGTATACGGTATAACCAATAAAATTTGAAGTACATATGCAAAAGACAAACAAATTCACACAATGGTTCGTGTTGATCTACACGATGTGATTGTAAATCTAATTGCATTTATTATTTCCTAACTGTACATGCGGTTGTTATTATATCAATAGTTCTTTTAGATAAAAGCTGACTTTTCAAAATAACAAGTATATTGAGTAACAAAAAAGGTCAAATGCCAACTAACTTATATTTTGTAAGAAACCAACTGTGAATTGATAATCTTCTACAATTTATAAAAAAGAATTAAACATTTTTGGCTGAACCCTTTTCTACTTTTATGAGTCCCCCTAAATATATATCTCTGGTTTGTCATTACATACTGTCTGACGTATATGAGATTGGTTTAATTATTATATTGCAAAATGATTAACATAGATACTGGAACCTTTCGTAAGACAAGTCTTGTGATTGTCTTCGCTTTGTATATTTTATAGATTTCTTGAGTAATCTGAGTTCTTCCAATAGTCTATGTTTATTCCCCATAAGAGACCGTTTTAATCATGGATACAAATGAACAAAAGTATCCAGATAAACTACCTATTAAATGTGTTTTTAACGTACAACTTAATTTTAAAGCAGAATTTATTTTAATCTGACAGTTACAATATTTTAGGAAAGATCAAGTCATAACTTATGAGTATAATGTGTGACAGAACGTACATGGACCATAGTGACAGCCAGATAAGACATCAAGAAAACATATAACTTTACAAATTTATGAGTTTCAGGAAGGTCATAATCAAGATCAAACCTATTGATTCAAAAGTTAACTAGGTCATCATATAAACTAAAGATACCCGTCATGAACAAAATTGGCTAAGAAAACAACAATAAAACAATCAGTTAATTAAGCATAAACCTTTTACTCAATCGGTCGAACTTGATCAAAAGAACATATTTCATAACTTTGATGTGCATGATCTCAATTAATATGGACTCAAAGATTCCCAAGTATTCAATGAACAACCCTTCATAATTTAATTGCTAGTGAATGGTATCGATTTATGGAAAATAATGAAAGATAACCAAACTGAAAGTTCAAAGTATCGTTCATTTTATTAACAAGTCAAATTGATGTTACACTTAGTAAACTTTCTATAATTATTAATTAATCATTGACATCTTTTTGTTTCTTCTTATTTCATGCCTTAGAACAATTTTATATCATCAAGAACAACTAAGTCATCATCTTTCAGTAAACAACTTGATCACCAGATTTTCTTGTCTCTAATTTTGATGATGTAATATCATTTAATCCTTGAATGAAGTCAACATATTTTACCAGTTCAAAAAATATTTAAGCAGTTGACTAAAAGCTACAGAATAAACTGCATTGAATTTGCTATTTTTACTCCATTCAAAAGCATAGGTATCGTGTGACCAGCATTTCTATGGAAAAATTCAATCTTAGTCAAAATATGTTCAAACCTATTTTAAATCGAGACGAATCATTTACATGTCAAAAAGTATTAACACTCCTTAATAAAATACTTATATGAACAAAAATCAACAAGAATTGTGAGATAAAAGAGTTTCATTGTATTTCAAATCTCCTAATCAGATGCAAACAGCTTGGAATTATTAAGAACTTTAGTTAGTGACGTTGAGATGGATTTTCAAAACAGAACAGAAAATTATAATCAGAGGAGTAGGATACCAAATGTGTGATTAAATATAGTGAAGATTAATGCTTTTTAAGTCAGCACAATGGTTTTTCGGAGACAGATAATTTTTCATCACTGACTAATCTCAGCTAAAGAAAAAGTCAATACAAAGCAAAAAGCACAAGATAGGTGTTTTTCTGTTGAAATCATGAACTGATAAATGTTAAACCACTAATGAAAACTTGGAAGCACTGGATAGCAGTTTTGTCCCAGTACTGGTCTGTTCAACAGTACGCATCCGAAGTCCCAAACGCATAATAATAATCCTCAATAAAGCATGTAGATATCTGTCATTTTGTACTTCTAATGTAAATGCCTTCCCACATTTATGTAAACTGATGCACACAGTTAAAGGTGACATGTTATAGATATCTTTCTACCGTTGTCTTGATTACTGAACATTGCATTGTGTATAGTTGAATCACTTTAATGCTCAAAATGTGAATTTTAAGCTTCGTTCAGTCTTTGAATAAATGTCTTTGTGATCTGATTACCTTTAAGTATCACTTAAATAAAAACCCACTTATTTCCACGTATAGCGACCTTCGTTGTTGCATGGTATCCAGTTCTATATTTCTTTATGAATTTCTGAGAGTAGTCATTTTCTCAAAAAGTATTACTGATTACAACGCACACATTTTTGCCATTTTCTATTAGGCATGAATTCTTATCTCTGTCAAAGGTTCTTTTTACCGACTCATATTTATAACTTATAAGACGTAAGCCATAAATTGCAAAACAATGATTGCACATCGGAAAAGTAAGAGCAGCATATTTACAACTGAAGAACATCTGGAAGTCAAAACAATTGTCAACCAACATTAAGGTTAGAATTTTCAATACAAATGTCAAGACAGTTCTACTGTATGTGGCGGAGACGTGGAAAACTACGAGAGCCATCATCCAGAAGATACAGATGCTTATTAACCGTCGTCTACGCAAGATACTTCAGATCCGTTGGCCAGATACTATCAGCAACAAGTTACTGTGGGAGACAACAAACCAGATTCTAGCGGAGGAAGAAATCAGGAAGAGGCACTGGAAGTGGATAGGATGCACATTGAGGAAATCACCCAACTGCGTCACAAAACAAGCCCTCGCATGGAATCCCGAAGGCTAAAGGAGAAGAGGAAGGCATGAGAAGAATGAACAAAAACTGGATAGAACTAGAAAAGAAGGTCCAGGACAGAGTGGGTTGGAGAATGCTGGTCGGTAGCCTATGCTCCATTGGGAGTAACAGGCGTAAGTAAAGTAAGTAAAAGATTGCACATTTACTTGTTAGGAAAATTTAAATGTGAAATGAAGGTTAAATTAGACAGAATTAAATGCAAAAATGAGAAAAACGTGAATCAGAACACAATAAGAATCCCATTATTCTGTATATTAAAGTTAAACCAATATAACGAGGACGTATTAATTAAGAAAATATAAATTGTTTATGAACATGTAAGAAGAATTTGAATGTTTATGTTATCAAGCTCTCAACAAACTACTTTTATACAAACCATAAACGTTGAGTTATGATATGTCTAATAGCCCATTTAAGCTGTATATGTGGCAATACAGAAAGAAATGTTTTATCATCTCTTCTTATAGGCTGTCTGGATTGTATTTATTTTTAAGCTATTTAGGCATTTGTTCATCTATCCATGCGTACAAGTCAAGATTGTTCCTATCTCTGTGTGTATTAATATATAAATATAAACTGATAAACACACTGATATATCATGGAATCATTTACATGCTCCTTAGGTTTCCGATAAACTTCTCGTTGAGCTATCGTCATTTATCAAAGGAAATAACTGGTTGAAGTTCCTGTGTTTACTTGTTATCCACATTTGTTTATTCCTATCTATTCTAAGTAGCCTGTGAAAAAAGTATTGTGTAGATATATTCCTCACAAGATGTTCATATACCAATTTCAGGCATGAATATCAACAGTAGTATTATTTAAACGCTTACCAATAATGATACTAACACCATGGACATTGAAAAATTTCATGCAGTTAGTTCCCTTTATGAATTTAAATAAAGACAGAACAAATATTGATGCAGAATAATATGAATTCATTATATTTCGTGGTTTCTCATCAGCTGCTTACAACCAAATATGCATTAGAGTTTTGGAATAACAAAAGTCGTCAATGATAACTATATATATATATATATATATATATATATATATATATATGGGCAAGGACGACTTTTGTTATTCCAATCCTTTACATTCACTTATGTCAGTCGTTTCAATCTATTTATTACCTAAATGCTAAAACTCTAATGAATATTTGGTTGTAAGCAGCTGATGAGAAACCACGAAATATAATGAATTCATATTATTCTGCATCAATATTTGTTCTGACATTGAAAAAGTTTGTAAATATCTGCACTCAGTAAGTCTTTAAATAACACATTCATGTTTAAAGCAAAAGGTTCTTGTTTAGAGTCCCGATATAAACATAAATATTGGGATGCAAGTATATTCATTTCATAAGCCTTAAATTGGACAAAATGCGCCTCTGAAATTCCGTCAACCTTCTTTTTCAGGTGACATTTACCTTACTTTTGTTTAATAATTCTATTCACATAGGGAATTTTTTACATATTTGTATGATATTTCTAGTTCGTTTTTTCGATTTACTCCACATTATTTATCTACCTACATGGTGAATATGGAGATTGTTCAACTCAACTTAAACATCATATGTTTTCTATTCTTTCTAATAATCTCTCATCAATAGAATGGCTAAAGTTTGAATTCCTGATTAGATATTGTAACACATTCTTTGCACTGAATAACGGGCATAAAATTAATTCATTACTGTTTACCTCAAAATACTCAATTGAAAAAAAAACTAATTAAAATGTTGTCAAGTGTTGATTTTTTAAACATTGTTTACAAGAACTTACATGTATGAATATCATTTCCACAACCACATAATCCATCATTCCAATCACGATAAATAATTGATCCTGGTTGATCACTTATAACCGGTATATTCTGATCCATAAATTAGATTAACACTTTTGTTCAAGCAAAAGAAGTTTGTGATGTGATTCTTTGAGAAAATAATTTTGCAATTATAATAATAGTAATAATAATAATAATAATGAGATGTTTATGCTGACAAGAATAATTTTATCCTAGAATAATTGAGGTCAATTTATCAAGTTTAAAATAGTTACTGACTTGATTAAGAACACACATACATAAGTTTAACTGATAAATCAGTCGAGAGTAATAGCGCAATTATTTTTTTCTTTTAATGAAGTCCTCAGTTTCGTTTGTTTCAGTTAAATAATAGATAAATCAGTGTCCTTAACTTCATTCACATAATAAAGGATCAATAAAACAATATTTGTTCAGTTTTTCAATCACAAAATAAAATCATCAGATTTTCGGTATGCATTCTCACCATTCTGTTACGTTTGTATGATTTCGAAGCATAAATTTACTTATCAAACTCTTGTCATATCAAATGTAGTGTCATATATATCTGATCATTGACCTTATTTAGAATGATGAATGACTACATAGCAAAGATTTCACAAAGGTAAAAAGAATTAAATAATGAATATATTTTCACGTGAATAAAACAAAGTGATTAAAAATAATTATGAGCAAAGATGGATAGTGGCCAGCAGTGGAATCCAGGACGCGCGTTTCGTCCTATTTGGGACTCGTCAGTTAGATGTACCTGCATCTCAGAGTTGATGTTCACTCTGGGACTCAAACCTAGTAACTTTCGCTTCAAACACCATCGCGTTATACACTCCGCTACTGAGTTCTGATAGCCACTTGCTTGTGAAATGAGGTAAAGTATAAATTCACTTAGTATTGTTTGTTTGAATCTTTTCATATGCCAATAAGAGACTGACCAGTCACAGTCCTAAGCATCAATAGGAAGATTCAAACAAACAATACTAAGTGAATTAAAAATAATTGTTTCACAAAAATTACTTACAAATGATATTTGTTGTGGAGGGATAAAATATTTAAAATAACTATATATTTTGGTTGGTTGCATTTTTTGTTTTAAATTTTTCAAAGTTAATTTGAAAATATTTTCTTCGACTTGGAAATATATACCCATTCTAACTTATAACAATAAAGACCAAAACAACAGCACTAGATTCCACGCGAATAAAACTAAAGGATACCTTAAAAAAACCGAATAGCTGTTTCTTGAAATGAAAAATCTCTGAAGTATTATTCATCTACAGCGTACTCCATGACCTTCACCTACTGGATAGGCACTGGATAGAGTACTTTATACAGTTAATATACTTGTAAGACCAGTGAAATATCACTGTGCCCTAGCTAAACCGTAGGGCATGCATACTACTGAATGTCAAATAGTGTAATGAGCCTAGTCAAGGACAGTGACGACCAACACACACACTAACAAACTATACTCTGTAGGCAGGTGCATGCGATAGTGGTTCTTGTTTGTACTTGTTCAATCTGATCTAACTAACATTTGCTGTTGCTTTTTCAGAGCCTTTATTCTAACTAGTCACTAAGGTAGCCAATCATCATGTTTATCACGAAAGAACAAACCAAGTCAGGCATCATCAGCGGATTGTGACTTCGCTTTCGATATTTGTGGAGATGTTTAACATAAACTTATTTTGTAAATAATTTTTGTCATTATTCACGTTTTTCACAGTTTCACATAATTTGTGTAATCACTGTTACTGATTGTAAAATTACTATTTAAATCTAACCTTGGCTTACAGCCACAGCTCCCTTCTCCGCTTGCATGACACACTAAGTATAGCTTACAAATGCACTGCTGCACCAATATTTCTCGACTTCATTTGTCAACCGCTGAGATAGGAGATCCCTATCATGATTTTTATCCACTTCTACTGATCACAATGATATGATCATATGATTATTACGGATACATATTATCTTGGACTATGTATATCGTATTTGGAATTACTGATCACTTATAACTGTGAACAACAGTGACGAAAACTTGAATTCACTTCCTACTGACAATTCAAGTAACGTCCCATACGTATGAGTGTATTTATACTTTGTATAACATCCGTCGTCTCTATACAGTTTTCAAAAACTTTTTCATTACTTTGTTATTGATATAGTTTGACCGTCACATATTACATTGTCAGAAACAATTGTGCTCCCCGCATAACTAACCGAACAAACATATATAAAAGGTTGGTAGAAAAGCGTTGGAATTTAGAGTCTGAGTCTTAATAAAAACTTATCAGTAACATTTCAGCAGTTACTGATGGATGGAATTACAAAAGAATAGCGCTCCAACGGTAACTAAATTAGGTGCATACAATTAACCACTCAATCTGATCTCAGCTTTTAATACTTAATGCTCACTACTAAATCCATAGCGTTGATTTCGACTCCATGCTGGGTCGAAATTGTGAACTGTTGAAAAGCTCGATAATAGTACGAGGGTGTTATCTAATATTTTCTTCAGTTAACGACAGTTAGTAATAATTATTATTCTCAAATACAACAAGTATTTGCGAATCACAAAGTTGGATAATACTGCCGGTTTATAGCTTAACTTCAGAAAATATGGTTTTTCATAGTCATACAAGATTACCTTAGAGAATTAAATTGAAATTCAACTAGAACGACACAAAACGTAGGACAAATCGCGCTCAATCATCAGCGTAAGGTAGCATTGAGGACTCAACCATATTTGAGAGTTCATTTACACACGGTATGAAAAGTAGAAAACTTAGGACAGAGCCTTGCGGTACTCCACCAAGTACTGGTTTCCAGGAGGAGAATTTCGATTTTATTCTTACTTTTTGTCTATAAACCTATCAAGAAATCTTTCACTCACTCTGGTGGATGTCCGACAATTCAAAGATTTTCTAGCTCCACGAGGATTTTATTATCCGGCACCTTAACAAATTCTTTGCTGAAGTCTACACAGACACCAATCATTCATTTTTTTACTATCTAGAGACTCTGTCAATTTCTCTTTTCTGTATTTTCGTAGTTGAAATCATGAGTCAATTGAAGGTAGACCACCATGGGAAACTTGGAAGCACTGGACGGCCGTTTCGTTGGAAAATTGATGCTGTATAAATATCGTAGGGTTGATTATTAAAGGAGACTATGAAGACTATTGATGTACAGAGAGGTATGTACCAAGATGGTATGTGATGAATACTCGGTATTCGCACGTTATTTTCCTTCAACATAAATTACTATATCATAAAAGTATGAAGATTACAAACATTCAAGAGCTGGGTCACTGATTATCGATCACTTTACCGATTGTCTTCAAGGTCAGGTACAAACGACGCACATCTATCTATTCAACGCCATGAACTGACCTATATGTCAGCAGTAGCTTTCTATTTCTATCTATTACATACTCTTATCAATATGTTTCTGTATTGTACTGTATTGTTCGGTCTTCATCATAGCCATAGTACATGTATACGATTTAATGGCAGTCTACGCTAAGTATTAACCTTGAGATGCGGTTTTTATGTAAGCTGGTTGGTCACCTCATTCCCATTCGACTCGAGTTGACCTCAAAAATTGTCAAAGATGATCTACGTTAGTGATCTGCAAAAACAATTACATGTCCCCTGTTTTCAAGACTGATCTAGTCCGAGACCACGGGCCACTGTAACTGAATACTGTTAGTTACTTCTGTTGTCGTAAGCGCATCTATTTCAGGCCCCAACCAAGAACTAGGATGATCTGTCCACCAAAACACTTCTTCCCAAAGTCTTAATTATAGAAGAACTGTGCCTCCTCAACAGCCAAGTTTCTGTATCGAAGAAGCAAAACCTACGTTATCGCAGCCTACAAAAATTCAAAAATTCTTATTTCCCCTGGTTCCATTCTCTTCTGTTTTCTGACAAATAATCTACCCTCTTAGTCTCTCTGAAATAGAGAACGATTCGAATGAACGCACATTTGTTAAGTCTCGAATGTTAAAAATTTCACGCTGTGGTGAACGAAACTGCAAACAAGATAATTTTGTCATACCTGTGTGTTTCTCTATGAATCTCACATCCGTGTAGGTCAAACGCAACGAAACAATAGAAAGCGAACGCAAACAAATCATAGTTTTATATAGTTTGACGCAATAATATTGAAATGGGAAATCTGCGGACTGAATCGTTAGCAAACTCCTTCGAACAGGAACTAGTTGATGCGATAATCACATGTGCTCTAGTGCAACACGTGAAGGAAGCAACTAGGTACGACCCGGGTTCTGCATCATCCTTACTAGATCTTATATTGACTCATTATGAGGATGATGTTGCAAACCTGGATTACATGCCACCCCTAGGCAAAAGTGATCATGCAGTTTTAAGCTTTGACTTCCATATAACTGTCGATCACGAGTACGCTTCAGCTCAATCCAGACCTAACGTCTGGAAAGCAAACATAGCAGACATCATGAAATCAGCATCATTAGTAGATTGGAAATTAGATCCAGAGTCATCAATCGAAACGGCTCGGGACGTATTCCGGAATTTATACTTAAAAGTTAACGCCCCCCACATCCCTTGGACTACACCTAAGGGGCCGGGAAACTCCCCACCGTGGTTCAGTAGGGAGGTTCGCATCCTTCTCCGTAAAAGAAGGAAAATGTGGGACAGATTTAGGTTACTGGAGACTGACGAGGCGAAATCTCAGTGTCAAAAGGCTCGGAATACCTGTGCCTCGACCCTCCATAAGGCCAGAAAACTGTACGAAGAGAAAATCGTTAGGGAATCCATAGAATGCCCTAAACGCTTGTATTCGTATATAAACCAAAGGACAAAAAGAAGAAGAAATGTTCCTTCACTATGGGGAGACAGTACTGCCACATCACTAGTGGAGGATGACTTTGGCAAAGCTCAAGTATTCTCTAAATACTTTAGCGATGTATACACCATAGAAACACCCTTCTCACCAGTCCATGAAAATCCACCCACACAAGCACTGGACAGCGTAACCATTAAAGAACTCGATGTCTTTGGTCTGCTAGTTAAGCTT